AAAAAGTTTTGGAATTAAAGTTTGAAGACAATATTAGCTCAATCAGAAACTGAAAAGTAAAGATCAAATCTCCTAAAAATGAACAATGATGGAAATCAGAAAACCATTCAAGAAATTCATCGCAAATAAAATTATTTCTAGAATGATAGAACAGAGATGACAGGAATAAGAAGAAAATAAAGAATTCTTTAAAATCTCAGCACTGAAGGGTCACAAGGGTGAAGTGTCCAGAATAATACAAGACAATGCACCTAAATTAAGAGCTGTCATTGTAAAATTCCTTCCAGGAAAAAAATAAATTAATTAATTAAAAAAAGATCAGGAGCCTGAATGGCTTTGAATTTCCCAAAACACAAGCTTCAGAGCTAGAAGACAAATTACTTTCAAAATTCTGAAGGAAAAAACTATTTATCATCTACAATTATTACCTTGCCAAATTATCAAGTATTTTTATGAGAATTATTTTCACAGACACAAGGTGTGCACCATTAAACCAAGAAGGGAAAGACCTGGGTATATGACATAGGTCATCTCTAACTCCAAGTGCTGGGGATCCCCAGGAAGGTGGTGAAAGAGCCTAAGAAGAGAGTACTGTCCAGATACACAGCTGAGAGGGGAGCAGACAGAGGCTCCAGGAAAGATTTACTAAAGATAATGAATCAATAGAAACCTGATGTGAAATATATAAGAGACTGGGAAAACTGGCAGAAAGTCAACAGATGTATTAGTGACAAGTACACAGAAAATTAAGTTAATTGGGAGAGCAGGACAAGTGGAGAGCAAGACAATTCTAGGGAAAATTCAAAGTCAAACAGGATAAACAATGTATACTATAATTAACAATGTATACTGTGATTAACATTTAGGTAGTTATTAATTATGTGAATGTAAGTACTATCTAATCAAAATTTGGGTGTAATTTCATCAGGGGGATGATGGGAATGGGGATACAAAATGAAACAGGGACACAGAAGTCAGAGAACTAAATTCTCTGGTTCTGTAGAAGGAGCTCTCTAGGAAGGGCTGGCACTGCTTAGGTCAACTAGCAAGAAACACTCACGTGATCTAGAGATATGGATTAGTGAGCATCGAAAAGAACTAAGGCAAAATGGCACCTTGAGGAGCAAGGAAAGGGCGTGGGCGGGAGGGGGCTCATGTCCACATTACCAGTCGTATAGAAAGAACTGTTTTAGTCCTTAAAATGTACACACACACTGTGATAGAGTCAGGACGTGTCACAAAAAACAAAAACAAAAACAAAAACAAATATAAATGCTTTTGTCCCTCTCCTCAAAAAAAAGGCAATTTGTGTGTGACTTTAGGGACTTTGATGGACTAGTGGTAGGGACCCCCAAATCAGCTATGGACCAAGGAGCACAAAGATTCTGTGGCCTATTTCACAGCATTTCCACCCCAACTGCCCCAAGGAGCCTTCAGGCGATAAATTGGGACCAAGCCTTTTTAGGTTAACACATTCCAGGTATGTAAGTACACCCACAAATCAGTCATGTGACTTGGTTTTGTGCTTTGCACTTCAGAGGCAATGGAAAGCAAAGTTAAAAGGAATTCATCTAAATTAAGGGTTGTTTTTGACACAGAGGCAGAGGCTGCCTGAACCTCAAATCTAGCATATAAGGTCTAAGTTTAGATTATCATTGAAATTAAGTGAGGTGAGTCAGTTTGTACACCCATCTCTCCCCACTGCCCACTGAATCATGATGTCTTTTTATATAAATTTGCTGTCAGTTGATTCAGGTATAAAGCTGAGGGGGTTCTGGACAGGAAACTATCAGTTGACCAACTGAAGTTATAAGGTGTTTTCAAGCTTATAGGACACTGCTATTCCTTATAAGAGTCTTTAAAATGAAGTAGAGGCTATAGGTTTTAATAAAAGGTCACTTGAAGCTGTATCATGTGAGGCTTAGAGCCAAATTAACAATATTTATGAAGTAACTTTTACCTTCCAAATCAGCATAATTTACTTTGCTAAAAAATCATCACAGGAAAGATTTGGGTTTCTCTTTAATCTACTTACAAACTAACTTCTACATTAATACGTAAACTGACTTCTATATTATACTTATAATTAATACCTAATCATTAATTAGGTATATTAATACCTATATTAATACCTAAAAGCTTTCAAGTCTCTGCTTTGGGGAGAAGGGAGCTGTCGGCAACAAAGGGCAAAATTCAATGAGCAGTTAAACACGGAGCTTCCATATGACCCAGCAATCCTACTCCTAGGTATCTACCCAAAAGACACAAAAACAATGATTCAAAAAAATACCTGCACCCCCATGTTTACTGCTGCTTTATTTACAATTGGAAAGACATGGAAACAGCCCAAATGCCCAAAAGTGGATGACTGGATTAAAAAGATGTGGTACATATACACAATGAAACAAAAAAAATAACCAAAAAAAAAAATAAACACATGCCTTTTGCAGCAACATGGACGGAGCTGGAAATAATCATGCTTAGTGAAATAAGCCAGAAAGAAAAAGAAAAATACCCTTTTGAGGAAAGGATGTTTCACTCATAGTAGGAGTACAATGAACCAGGCAAGAAAATAATAATAATGAACAGCTATATACCAGAGACATTTTGGTGGGGTGGAGTGGAGAATGGGATCAAAAACAGTGTGGGGAGGGAAATGCACTGACTATGGTGATGGCACATGGGTGATTTGGTGATGGGAAGCCCACGGGGATCGCAACTGAGATGGAAAAACCACAAAATGATGTAAAAATAAACTATCGTATCATTTATTTAAAAAAAAATTCAATAAGCAGTAACAAAGGCTGTAAAACCAAGACGTGGCTTTTTATGACTTTGTGAGCATGGCTGTGGAAAAGAGTATGGGATTGTCTGAAAAGGAGTTCAGCAGGGTGTTCCCCAATGGAAAGTGTCATTTGGCGGCCCTATACCTGGCTTCTTGACCTGACCTAGCCAGGACGGGCTGTCAGGATGCAAAGTGTAGTTCTATGTCCAAGGTCTGCCATGGTGCGTGGGCTCATGGTTAAGTGTCTATGGGTCACTAGTCCAGGTCAAATCCTCAAGGAAACACAGAGTTTTCCTGGAGTGCCTTCCAGCCCATTCCTGGCATACAGCATAAGCTGCCAAGACCCTAGGACTTCACAGCCACCCAGGAGAGTGGAATAAGTTGTAGAAAATGTGAGATTGAGATATGAGTTTGAGTGCTTCTCTGACAAATTTACTCTAAACTGCGACTCTGCTAAGAACTGCACCTTTGGGTGTTGTGTGAGGTATTCATGAAGAACAGTCCTAAACAGATTCACAAATGTCTGCATAGCCTCAGAATCACACTTATGAGTCTTATTTTCTCTTTCCTATGAAATGTATGTTACTCAAACTTGTTAACTAGGAACAATAATTTGAGGACTCAAAGGCCCACTGTCACCCCTCCTCAACATTTGCTTCATATTGCAAAGATTTTTCTGTGCTAGACATGAAAGGGTTCATGCCTCCCCTGCTGCCATAATCTAAAATAAATCAGAACAGTATTGGAAGAGAGGCTTCTCAAGAGGACTAAGATACGATTTCTCAAAATGCCCTGAGTTATCGCCCATTAAAGCAGTCATCTTTTCAGCTTAGCTAATTGGGCTGCCCAAGGCAACGCCCAAGGTCATGGCTTTCATTGGTTGAATGGAAGATGAAGGAAGTTCTAAATAGAAAGGGAGGACCTGCCCTTGGCCTCTGACTGGATTAATCCAGAACACTTAACCTTAGTTCATGGTGCAAACTGCAGATCTCCCAGAACAAATAGAACAAACTAGCTTGCTAGACATGCCTCAAAATGCATGTCTTTCCTTTCCATATTTGGAAAGGACCGAAGCAGGCAGCAACAGGACAGCCTGTGGGTCCCTTCCCCCTTGCAGAACAGACTCCCCTGGCAGGATCTGTGGTCAATACTGGTCCTTAGCTCACGCCAAAGTGCTGGGATTGGTGGGGAAGAGCAGTTGGAAGGGCACATGGGAGTTTTTTGAAGGGTGGAGACGCATAGTTTGAAGACAAAGTTTTGTTTCACCATTTTTGTTTTCAGTTCATGAAAACATATTTTGGAAATTTTAATGACTTTATAAAAAGACATGAGAATTTTATATTTTACTGAGACCATAGCTGGGTTTTGAAAATCTGGAAATCCTGGTTCAAGTTGCTGACTAGGGACTTTGAGCACGGCGCTCAGCACTTTGGCAGGTGTGGCAATCAAACCTGGCTTCCTTTCCACTTGCTGCCCATTTATGTCTAGTTAGAAGTCTTCAGCTTTGGGGGAATTTTAGCTCATCTGCATTAACCTTTCTTTAACTAAATCTTCACATAAAATAACGATACTAGAAGCTGAACTTCACTAACCTTTCAACGCAATTAACATTAATAGCATAAAAATTCCTTTTCTAACACTGCTTAAAGCAAATTCACTTTGCAAAACTCAATTTATGCCAAAGACACGGCTCTGAAAATCATGGGAATGAACATCCTCTGTCTTTCATTGAATATTTCAACTATTCATTCTTGAAAGTGCTAGAACCTTAGTGTAGAAAAATTAAGGATGGAAGGTCTCACAAGGACAAATACCAGAGGTGGAAGGTGGGGAGGGATGATTAATAAACCTTAACTAAACTAGCTATGGAAGTTTCCAGGAATCTAAAACAGGGTCAGAAAAGATTATCAGCCAGAGGTGGGGGGCAGAGAGGATTACTGATTTTAGTAACCTGACCCCCCAGGGTAACTTCCACAGAGGAGATTTAAGACTGCCCACTTCTGTCTACACAAGCATTACTCTCTCTGTTTTTCCCCCCTTCCCTCAATAAACTTGTCGTGTGCTGCTGAATGGGAAAGTCTACTGAATTCTTTTCTCAGGAGAACCCAAGAACCTCACAGACTGAGCCCCATGATCTGAACTCCACCGAAGTAAACAGCGAGCATCCTGTGTGCACAGCCCATGGACAAGCACCGGACAACACCCAACAACTCACCAGTGTGAGAATAGATGTACCACAAGGCCCCCGTCAGCAGTGCTCCAATCACGAACGCTGCAAACGCAATGCCCATCACAGTCAGGGTGTCCAGGCCGTGGAAAACCGCTGTGAGGGAGAAACCATTAAGCACCATAAGTCAGTCTGCATCATACACTGCAGTTGTCTATTTGTAGGCAGGCTCAGAAAGGCTGTGAGCTGCTAGAATCTGATGACAAAATGAAGATTTTGTATAAAACCTGTAAAAATTTTGTAAAAGACTGTATATACAAATACACTCCTTTTCTTTAAAGAGTGATTTTTATCTATTTATGCATGGAAGAACTGGGGTGTAGACCAGAGGTGTGGGTGGTGAGAGGATTCACCAGAGACAGAGTGGGGAGCAGAACAGGCCAAGTGATGAAATACACTGCTGAGGGGAGCAGCAGGTGAGACAGGAGAGGTCTGCTGTGCCATATCCAAGTGATGCCTCAGTGGCTGGTGACTAGCACTGAGACTTTAACCTCTGTGCCACCAGGGAGGCCCTGCACATACTTTCTTAACAGAAAAGTGAGATGACTGAATGTTCAGGACAGCCGCATAATGCAACTTATTTTGAGCAACAAAAATAGTGAAAAATCAGGTTTGTAAACTCTAGTTTGGCTTGTCTCAATCTGAGGACCCACTATTTGAATTGTAAAGTGAAATTCCAGGGATAAAGTAAACATCGGTGATCGAAATTCAACTTATTGCTTGTTATTCAATGGACATAACACACTACAGAGAAATACTTCCAAGACTTCACCAACATTTTTGTGAACATTTAAAAGTATGAAAGATAACAGAAATGAAGGGGGGCAGGTGAGAAGGAGAAAACAGGAAATAAGGATAAACTATTTGTGTGGGTATACAGTTCACTGATCTCATGCTAACCCTTAAATCTTAAATTACATATTGTGTCATTTAAAACAATCTACTTTTTAACACTTCCAACCATGATCTTTCTATGAGGCAAATATATATATTTCTCAGTAGGGAGTGATGTCAGTTTTATGGTCAGCAAAACACATAAATAGAACCAATTGTTACTCCATTTGGCAAAGACTTATATTTGAGATTAATTCCAGGCCACAGAAATAGAACATTTCCTTTCATTTAAGAGAACTACCTTCTTTAAGTCACTATAAAAAAAAAAAAAAGTAAAAATCAGTTTCTGAGGGAGAGGAAATTTGGTGGAAAAGAAATTATAATTTCTCTGTATTGTTTTGTTTTATTTTAAATACAAATGAAAGGCATAGGCCTATTATTACAATATTGTCCCATGTTCCTCTCCACTCACCTCTACAGTTAACACTTTGCCTCCCTAATGTGGGACCCTATTCTAGCCGGGCACCTTTCTGTGCATTCATTTACCTCCTAATAAATGAAGACAGCACTCCTTCAGCTTCTGAAGGCAGGAGAGAAACAAAAGGAGTCTGAAATTGGCTGGGGATCCCCTAGAGGGAGCACAAACTGGGAAGAACTCTCTGGAGGTTAAAATAAACCAAACCATCAACCTATTTTAATCTAGTTCATAGGTTTTTTAAAAGGTGACTTGCACATCTTGTGCCAATGGATGCAAAGGTCGGACACTTTTTACTAAAAGTATTTTAAAATTCTAAAGAGGGATCTGTCATGGATGAAAATCAGACTAGGTAAGTACAGGAAAACCGGATGCTGTTTCATGGATACACTAGTTATGAGACGGTTAAAATGATACACAGAACAGCCAAGGAGATTCAACCAAGAATCTTAGGGAAGAAAAACAGCTCCCAATTCCTCAGAGGTCTGCTATCAGAAGTCCAGGTTCATGTCCCACTCAATGCCAGCTGCAACCACAGTCAAGTCTCTTAAATATTCAGGGCCAGAATTTTGTTTAATTTAAACCAATAAAATTAGCCCAGATAATTCCAACTCATAATTTGGCAGTCATTTGGCATATCTCTTTTTATCATACCCAAGTCCCCTCTCTCCATATTTACACACACACACACACACACACACACACACACATGCACGCACGCACGCACACGCGCGTGCGCGCGCCAAACCTTGTCCTAAAGTTTTCCCTACAGGAATACAACTAGCTCCTTTATTTCTACTTCTCTGAGCAGGTAATTATGGATCCCACATGAAGGAAACCATTCCCAGCTGTATCTTAGTGCTTTCAGACAACAGAGTTAAGGAAGACACAAGTATGCAAATAAAACTGCCCTTCCTAATACTAAGTCAACCGCTACCTTACAATTAAGGCCACACAGGCCCAAATGGCAAAGAAAATGAGGGGGATGGGGGGAGCATGAAGGACGGACAGAGGGAAGGAAGAGGAGAGTATGAGAAAAAAGTGGGGTGGAGGAGGGAATGAGAGCAAAAGTCCCCTTATCAAAATTCAAAGTTTGGCAAATGCTCCTATCACCAACGTCTTCTTATAAAAGCCCAGGAGGTTTTATTTCGAAATCTTGCATCAAGACTTACGTGGTGGAATTGGATTCAGTTCCTTCATGCTTGGCTCTGTTTCTGAAACAAAAACATAAAATCACAATGCATTCCACAGAGAAATCAAATTTCAAGCAAAGGGTCATCAAAATCTCTATTTGCTAATAAATACTTATTTTGTGAAAGCTTAGCCTCCTTAGATATAAAACTGTACCAAGGGTTATTCAGAAACTTTAAGAACTCTACTTTGCTTAATCAATTGTACAGACTCTCTAATTTGAAGAAAACTTGAAGGCAAATACCTACACGGAAGGCATTTGAATCTAATAATTCCTGTACGTCATTTATTTATAAAAGGGTTCCACATCTTTAAACACTGTATTTTCCTGGCATATTCAAAATATTATTCCACTCTCAAAAAATTCTTTTAACTGAGACTTCTCTTTATTATCTGCCCCTAATGCTACTGGCCAGTAATTCAGCTCTTCTTTCTCACTCATCTGCATTATTAGAGCTTTCCCAACTCATCTCCTTGTCACCAACACTGTCCCTATTCCAAAAGTTCCTTCCTCCATATTTGCCCTAAGAGTGAGTATTCCAGAGTCCAAAGTTGCCCATGGTCTGGCCCAGTGGAACTGGTCAAGATCTCTCCCTCATTTATTGGAAGATAATCCCAACTCTTGAGTATGGCCCACGGAGTTCAGTCTCCTTCCTCTACCCACCTCTCTCCAGCCTCCCTTCCTAATGGGGTCCTTCACCCATGCTGGGTTCCTCTTATTAAGTTCCCCCAATTCTCCATGCTACTCCACGTCATCCTCTGAAAAACACTCCTCCTCCAAACCCACTGAGTTGGCGTTTTCAACAGGGTTTCCCTTGACCTCTGCGTCTCCACCACAGCAGACTTGGTCTCTCCCACTTTTGCTCATTTCACCCCTCTTCTGTTACAGATTCCACATCACATCAGAATTCCTTTTTCCTGCCCTGAGGGTGGAGTCAAGTTCTTACTCATTTGTCTATCCTCAGGGCTCAGTCTGGCATGAAATAGGCCTGCCAGGAAAAGTGAAATGTTTAGTCAAGGATACTGAGAACATGGATTTGTGTCCTGAAAATGGAGGCAATAGAGGAAACTTGGAGTAAGACCACATGAAAACGCTCCAATGCCTCAATGTTCCTAGTGCCCTCCTGCTCACTAGTGGTCTCACTGGAGGCTCATACCAGCCCTGAGGAAGGCAGAAAAAGAATCCTTATCACTGTTTCACAAATGAGCAGCCTGAGACAATGGCATCATGTGACTCTGCCAAGGTCACAGCTGGAAAGCATCAGGGCAGGGGTTGAACCAGAATCCTGACTCTGCCAAGTAGGCTAAAAGACAGCAGGCAGGCTGCTCAGGCTGGGCTGGGGAAGCGCTGAGAGGCCCCGTGCCACCCTCAACCTTGACAGCAACTTACAGCAGGGCTGGCATCGGTGACCCGCCACTTCAACGGCCGATAAACTAAGAATAAGCTATTTTTTTAAAAAAATAATGTAAGTTTATTTTTATAGCATTTTGTGCATTTTTTCCATCTCAGTTGCAATCCTCATGGGCTTCCCATCACCAGATCACCCGTGTGCCATCACCATAGTCCAGTGCACTTCCCTCCCCCCACTGTTTTGGATCCCATTCCCCACTCTACCCCCATAAAATGTTTCTGGTATATAGTTGTTCATTATTATTTTCTCCCCTGGTCCTTTATACTCCTGCTATGAGTGAAACCATCGGTATTTTTCCTTTTCTTTCTGGCTTCGAATAAGCTTTTAATAATTGAAAAAAGTCAAAATAATCTTTGACAACATGTGAAAATGATACAAAATTTGAATCTACTTCAAAAAACAAGTTTTATTTGAACACAACCACGCTCACTTGTTGACATGTCAGAGGCCCACACGGCATGAGCTGCCAGCCACCAGGATTCACGACCTGGCCCTTTACAAAAAGTGTGGTGGGTCCTGGCACAGACTGCCTGCTGTCTAGAACTTAAAAGTAAGTACTTAGGACTTCTCATCAACTTTTTCACTGGAAAGAGGAAACACACACTGATGCAGAAATACACAAGCAAAAAAGAACTTGTGAAAAACTGACCAACAATGGGTACTGGAGGTGATGTTCACAAAAAGAAAAAGGATTGTAAAATCTCAGGATTTAGCTCTCGGTGGGGTTGCTCACATTCTCCCAGGGTGAGGTGTCAGACCCAGCGCTAGGGGAAGGAATGTGACCAGATGACTCAAAGCCACTGGGTCAGAATGATGCCCCATGGAGCTGTGCGGGCTATATAGGGGAAGTCACGCTTCCCCTATAAAATTACCAAGAAAATGAAAATCACTGTATATTTTTAAGAAGATCTAATTCAGTATGCAGAGCAGACAGTGACTACAGAATGCATACAGCAGAGTGTTTCCTGGAAGTGTGGTCCTTTTGGGGAGCAATGAAATCATATTGGTAACGCCTTAAATTTGTACATTTGTCAAGTATTTTACAATTGACAAAAAGCCTTCACTTACGTTTGCTCATTTTAAGCTCCCAAGAACCCTATGAAGCAGAGGTATCTAACCACAAAATTCTCCTGCTCTCAAGAAGCAGCGATTTGATTTGCTAAGTCCAAAGGCATTTAAGAGCCTCCATGGTGTGCATCAAGCAAGAAGAGGACCCAACTTGGGCAAGGGCTCTATGTAATCAACTGCCTGAGGTTCAACTTCTGTCACTCAGAATCACCAAGAAGTTTTATATCATGATTCTCACTCCCAGAGACCTCACATGTGAGAATTTTGGTTTTCTAACAAGGCCTGTGTGATGGATGGCATTGTTTTAGAAACCTTAATGGACTTGTGTTATGATCTAATCCTCCTCCCCCACCCCAAATAGGGGCCTTCTCACAGGGCTAAGCAGAAACAGTTGTTCTGCTTATTTCCCTGGAGTAAAGTGCCTCTGTGATTCCTGTACATAAACAATAATAAGCACAAGCTGCAGAACTGAGGCTAAAGGATTTTATACTCTCGTATTTTTTGTTCCCAAATTCCCAATAACCCCGGAGTATACTAGAATAGTTAAATCTCCACTGAAACCCTATAATTGAGTTGGCATGCCGAAAGGAAAAGAGTGGACACAACAATATTTACTTTTGGTTGAAGGGCAGGATTGTAAGAAAGGAATCCCAGCTATTGCTGTGAAGAGAATTTCAACAATAAAGATTTCTTCACAGAAAGAACAAACTTAATCAACATACTGAATTAAATCTTTTCATATACTCTGAGCAAACTCTGGTCTACCTCGAGAACCAAAATTTCCCTGCTCAGATGGTTAGGCCTGGTTTTCATAACCAGGATAGATCTGAGGTTATGCATGAGTAACAGGCTACCGCTTCTGGCCTCCAGCTTACCATTCAATCCTAAACATAGTAGGACTGTGCAAAGAAGAAAAGTTGGAGAGATGGAGGAGTCTGCATAGGGCCTATTAAAATCCAGCTTTTACTAACATCATTAGAAATGGACCCTTTCTTTGGATGCTTTCAATATTTATAGCATTCATTGCAATTACCCTGGTCATTAACCTGCTACTCTCCACTAGATCAATGGTTCTCACCTGCAGGTGATGGTTGTCTGCCCTCCCCCTCCTCCACCCCCAAATACTTAGAAGTGGCTGGAGACAATGCTGGTAGACGGGTTTGCTGTGCGTCATTTAGTGGGCAGTGGCCAGGGGTGACTTGTAGCTCCCTATAACTGTAGCACAGAACAGCCCATGAGACAGAGTTATCCAGTGAAAATATCAATGGCAAGTGCTAAGGTGGTAAAACTGTGCATTAGACTGTAAAGGTCTAAAAGACACTGTATTTGCATATAACAGTTACTCATTGGCATTTTAAAATAAATATCCATAAATAGCATGTACAGCTTAGGACTGTGCATTTGCACAGCAACCCAACCTCCATGCTGCTTTCAAATTATCCTGACTGATCTGATCACTGACTCCCTAACTCTAGATCTTTTGATGGTTCTTACTAACTTTTAGAGGTTCATGTTAGAATATTGATGGATGAAATTAAACACCTGGGTTTCCTTCAAAACAATGCAACGGGGAGTGGGGAATGATAAAAGCAAGACTGGCCATGAGCTGGAAATGTCTGTGCAAAACAGACAGAGGGTTTGGGGAATGGACGCTGCCATTCTCTCTGTTCCTGGGTAGGGAGGTCTTGATCTGTCAGATATTTCTGCCATCTTTCCACTCAGTTTCACTTCATCTCTTCTTCAGCCTGGGGATAAAAGCTGGCCCTGCTTTAGAGTATTTCTGTTCTGGAAAAATCAAATGTGTTCCCAAAGTAACGCCTCTTTTGGATTAACTTTCAATTGACGTTCACAACTTTCTCTTCCAACCTCGCCTCGTACCCTCCTCCCAAGCCTAGTTAAGAAGAAGGGAAGGAAGGAAATTAACTTTTACAGAAGGCTGATGGTATGTCAAATGCTGTCCTGAACTCATGAATTTTTAAAAAGTTATGTGATAGAAGATGAAAATTTAGTACCTTAAACATTTAACCTGCTAAGTTTATAAGTTAACTTATATATAGATCATGGCAATCTGGGAGATATTTACTGTTCTTTTGTGCCCATATTTTGGGGGGATAATGATGGTAGAATTTAGAAAAGTGATTACTCTTCACGTCTATCATTAAAAAAAAAAATCACCAACTGACAAGGTGTAACCATTTTACGGTGTAAGCCCAAGAGTTCTCAGATGCTGTAAAAAGTGGTCACAGCATCCAAAGCAAACATCACTAACACGCCTGTCATTCAAAATATTTCAAAAAATACGGTAGGACGGTACCTCAACTATTTTAATTGTTTGCCATAAACCATAATATGCACCAACTATTCATGTTTTCTGGGGCTTTTTTGGCTAAGTTACAATCCAAAGTCACTTCTCCTAAACTTTAACACACTCTTAAGCAGTTTACATGTTTCCCCACATTTTAACCCTTTGGGGGAACAGACCCCCCCCAAACTCTTCATCTTCTTTTCAGTTTATAACCATTGGTGTATTTGGACACTACTTGCATACAGGGGTGATAAGGCATGAACAGGGGGAAAGGGGGTGAAGTGGCTATGAAGAACACATGGCTATGTTGCTTGTAGTTTGAATAAAAAATGAGAATAGTGGGAACTAGACTTTGGTGGTGGTCACGATGTAGCATATACAGATGTTGAACACTGTACAGCTGAAACTTATTAAATGCTATAAACCAACGTTACCTCATTTAAAATTTGTGTTTCTTAAAAACAGGGGGAAAAAAAAAACAACTAGAATCAACCTGTCCCCTAGGAAAAGGCATAGAGCTTAGGGATACAGGTGATGGAACCAAATGCCAGAATCTCAGATGCACCATTTATACGTGTTCTGACCTTGCCAAGTTATTTAACTTCACTCTATCCCTGCGCCTCACAGAAGGACTAATAAGATTAAACAGATAATCCACAGGGAGCATTCAGCTCAGATAAGTATCTGTAAATGTACAAGTAAATGCACAATAAATGTTAGATAACCATCATCTCCATCACCATCACTATTGTTGAAAGTTTAAGCAGCAAAAGGATGCTAACCCACTGCTGGTTCCCCAAGGGGTGAGGGGTTGAAAGTGGCTAAGATGTGCTGTAGAAGCTAAAATGAAGTCCCATTCGAAAGAAACCCTTCTGGGGCCTCCCTGGTGGCACAGAGGTTAAAGCACAGCACTATGAAGCTATCCACAGCCATTGCAGCATGAGTTTGATCCCTGTCCAGGGAGCTGACCCACATGGAGCTACAGACCTCTCCAGTCTCGCCTGCTGCTCCCCTCAGCAGTATATTTCAGTAGATCTGCCTGTTCTGCTCCCCACTCTGTCTCTGGGGAATCCTTTTACCCACCCCACTTTTGGCCCGTACCCCAGTTCTTGTATGCATAAACAAATCTTTCAAAAAAAAGGAAATATACTTTCTTTTTATAAATTCCAGTGGCCCAGAATTATTTATTTAGGTGGATGGTCTATTCTCCCTGTCTACAGAAGAAAGAAATACCACCCGGAATGTACCTGTACCACTGCAGTGGGAGCCACAGCAGGGCCCTCCCTGCCTGACAGGAAAGCTGGCAACCAGAGATCTCGCCAGCCACATCAGAAAATTCAAGCATTGAGGAGTAAGATGGGCCAAAAGACATGGGGGGGCAGGAACTTTGGCACAACTTCCAGTCTACCTCATATGTGAGTGTGTACCCCACTCACTGGTCATGAACTTTTTACCCAAGGGGTACAACTGAACCTCAGTAAGAGATCTGCCCACTGCCACAGATACTGCAGTAAAGGTACTCGTCCACACAGTAACACACAAAGCTGTCTGGCAGGAAGAACCTCAGGGTCCTATTATGACTCAAATAACCCTCTGATATTAGGCATTCCCTTTGCAAATGACTATTCCAATTCCCTGAAAAGCAGAGGGAAAGCGAACTCAGCGGCCTGCATGGAGGAGAAATTATTTTAGAGTCAAAGGAAAATAAACATGAAAGTTGAGAGAAGTCACTTACTGAAGGAGCTGAAACTACTGGAAAACCTACCCCCCCACGGCCCCCCCCATGTAAAGTTACAAAGTGTATTTGCATACAGACCCTGGGAAGCTGGCCCACAGTTTAACCTCCTCAATTTGTTTAACAAACCTAAGCAATAAACTTTCTTCACCGCATGCTTCTCTACTAAAATCTAGTCTCAATTAGTAGATCTCATGAAATTGCTTTGATATTTGGTAAAACTTGCCTCTTGAACTTTTATGTAAAGAAAACATTAAACTTTCAAGATAATTATACGAAGTTTAAATAAAAGTCATTACCTAATTTACAAGAGGAATTACTTAGAAAAATACCACCAGGCTTGAAAGAATGAATGAATTACTGGAAGTTATACTGCTGTAGTATTAGTGCCTAATTATCGTCTGGCAAAAACGCAAGCTGCTGCCTTCAATTACAGCACAATTACCTCTCAAAATAGGTAAGCAGAACAGATGGACTGCCAGGGAGCTGTTGCTATTGTTAAACCGCACTCACAGGACAAAACCCAGCCAGCTACGACTCCATTGTGATCTACTCTGCAACATAATCAACGTGTTTATACTTCTTTCCCCTGGACCCAGTAAACGAGGTATTATCTGAGCAACTTATTTGTCTTCTCTGGTTGGCAATGGTTACTCCAAAACGTGGAAAAACAACTGATAACGGTAAAATAAACAACGTCGATTCATAATCCTCTCATATGTACGTTTCCTACCAACTTTATGACAGCTGGACAATGAATTCTATTTTTGTTTACTTGTTTCTTCAACAGCGGAGGTCATAAGGTCCAAATCCCTCCTTTTCCAGATTAAAAAAAAAAAAAATGCAACCCAGGGATATGATGGGGGAGCTTTAAAATCCGAGTCGGAGGGTGGAGAAAGGGCTGTGCCAGGCTCCTCTCCTGATGCTCAGTCAGCACCCTCCCCACTCTACCTTACTGCCTCTCCAAAGTGAGCATGTTTCTAGGTGTGACACGGGATGGCACTGCTGTGTTCACAAAGGTCACTCACCCAGCACCACCCTGCTGGCACCCTCAGGCCTCTGTTCTGTCACGTGCTGTCTGTTCCAGGGCGCCCCCTGCTGCCTATTCTTGCAAATCCCACAATGCTCAGGTCAGAATGCTGACCAAGGTTGCCCTGATCCTAGACTTGGGGTGACTACCACCCAGTAGGTCTCCCAGCGAATGTGTGGCAACTAGAGTCTGGCTACTTGCTGGATTTCGGCAAAGCCCTCAGTGCCAGGCTTTTCTGCCTCTTGGGTGGTGGGAGGTGGCCTGGGTCTCTAGCTCACAAATATCTGACCCCGGAGGCTTATGCAGATTCAGGGTCTCAACTCTCAGTCTGGGTCCTCAGCAGCCCTACTTCTGGGGAGTCACAGGCTGTTCTGAGACAGCACAACACTAACTGCCAGAGGGCCTATGTGATAGTTGGTTCCACCACAGATGGTGACAGCTGCCAGGAGTTCTGGGGCTATTCACGCCGGTGGGGCTCTGATGGTGTGTCCCTGTGAGAAACCCTCCCCATGGTCCACAGGGCTCCGCTCAGCCTCTCGGCTGGCTGGGCTGGCTTGTCCTGACTGACCCCCAGGTACTCTTAGGGCAGATTCTTCCTTTTTTCCTAGAGAGAAGCTTCCTAGATGTTCCTGCATGTAGAGAAAGAGGCACTCTGGGCGTCAATCAACAGAATGACTCTAAAATACTGAAAGCTGAATTACAAGAATGTATCTAGGCAGTGGTTCTCAACCTTCTTTCTCCTGTGCCACCTAAGGAGTTCCATGCACACTCTCCCGAAAGCCAGCAGCGAATGTGACAGCGAACTACAATAATTTGTAGCCAGTGTAGACCATGAAAGGATGGCTGTGGGCCGCGTACAGCCCCAGCACACCACAGGAATCTTCTTTCTTGCACCCTCAGTGAAGTGGGAGTGGGTTGACAGGGTAACTGCAGAGGGATCATTTCTGAATGTGTTACAGTTCAGTATACAGTATACAGTATAACCAACTATCAAAATAAAGGCCCTCTGCAGCAAAGAATCCTTTCCTCAAGTTATTCACTGGCCCTTAAGTTATGTTTTGCTTTTAAGTAAAAAGAATCCTTTCAACAAGGAGGCCACCGGCGCCTACTTCCTGTCTGAGCGAGCCTGCCATGGCTTACCTTTAGGTACTATCTCATGGTGGATCACAGCGAGGGGCTTAGTGAAGGTCTTCTTATTCTGCATCATGGCCCAGATCATGGATGCATCCAGCGAGGTGCAGGCTTCATCAGGAGGCACACACTGCAGAAGCAAAGCAAACACTACATGAGGGGGTGGGGGGGGTGCAAAAGGTTCCTGGGTAGCTCAGCCTGCACAGCTGTCTAGGGGCCCCTTATCAGACAGCTCCCAGCTGTTTACCCAGAAAAACAGGAGATTTGGGTGTTTTTTCAGAGAACCACAAAGAATCTGGGAGCTTAGTCTATTCTCAGCGGCACTTGAGGATGCAAATTTAACTAGGCAGTTTATAAATACTGCTCTCCACCCCACCCCCCATCTTCCCACAAAACAACTAGAGGGCTTTGTGTTATTTAGTCTGAAAAATAATGAAACTATATGATGAATGTTGGCCCTTCACCAAGCGGACTGCACGTAAATGGTTCGTGTTTGTGATTTGTGATTATGGGAAATTTCACGCACTGCATCAGGAGGATGACAGCTTCCACATCTGTTGTCCAAAAAGATAATTATGCTGTCAGGTTTGCTTGATTTTTTAAAAATCCTGGTATAGGCTCATGCAAAATGAAGCTTTCTAAGGTCATCTGCGTTTAATGTTCCAAAATGGAGTCCTGAGTGTGTGTGTCCACGTTTGGAGGTCACAGAACAGTTGCCTGTAGCTATTTTAAAGCCCAATTGTAGAATTAGCATGGCCGGGCCCACTGCAATTGTTTTTTAAAAGTATGGTCACACTCCAGTACCTTGTTCTTTAAAGTAACTGGTTCCCTGTCTATGCTCATCAATAGGTAAAATGTTAAGTGATACCCATTTGTTTTTGTTGTAGGAATAGATCTCTCATCTTAAATAGTCTATTGTAAAACACCTTGGAAAGCTAATTAACTTCCAGCTCTTCCAATCATAACAGAACGAAAAATTTGCTGCTCTGAGCAAGAAATTATAAGACAACAACTTCTCCCTTTCCCAAAAATAAGACAGAGAAACCTCTTACAGAGAGGGACCATGGATTTTCTCTGGAGAGGCATCATTATTTGTAAAGCTTTGTGCATCAGGAAAAGGCTTCTTACTTTCCTATGAGTTCTTCAGTAAGCTCGAGTCTGTGGTGCTGTGTCTAACTCACTGTGTGACCATGGACAAGACACTCTGTGGCCTCAGTTTCATTAGCGAAGACAGAGTTGGACTCAACCAACTCTGAGACCATTTCCCAGAAGATTCCTTGCTCTGGTGACTGTCATGAGAGCCATGTAAAAGCTACCAGATTTAGAAATATCTACTATCAAGAGTTCACAGAAAGACAATGCTGAGAGCTGATCCTAAGTCACTGCTCTAAAAATGAGGAACTATTATTATATATACTGTCTCATGGTTCCTCTATCCAGGAGGGAAGCCAGATACTGTTATTTCTGCTTTATAGATAAGGAAATGCTGATACCAAGAGGTCAGGGACTGGCTGAAAGTCTTGTTCATAAGCAGCACACACCACTTAGTAACCATACTCCTTTCACTGTGTCTTGTTTTGGGTGTAAGTTGTAACTCCTGGTTCAAAGTAACATCTATGTCCTCCCCTAAAGTAAGGGCTCTTCTTAGAATGTTCTGAAAGGAATTGCTAGACTAGTTTTCACAGACTAACACAGATGAACTGCACAAGCTCTAAGCGAGGTTCAGGAGAGGTAACAGCCACAACCATTAGCAAAGGCCCCTGGTAACTGCCAGGCTTCCCTCCTAAATCCCTAATGCAAGTTATCTGCTGCCTGCAGGAAGTAGCTTGTGTCCACAGTCAATCACTAAATTCCCACGGCTCTCTCCCACGGTCACAAAAGGCTACTGGCAGGTGAATGTCCACAACGCTAAGACCTCATGTCTCCATAAGCAACGTAAATAACAGTCTAAATCACCCCATATAGGTACTCCTTAGTGATTATAATCAGATTCGTTGTATGTTCTTATGCCTTATAAAGTTTTCTTTGGTGTTATCAGAAAAATGAATGCCTGGAGGAAATAGTGCAAATGACTCAGAGCCGTGGTAATCTATCGCTATCGATACCTTTTCCTCCTACCTCTACACCTATCTTTGACAACCTACTTATTAGAGGGCTTTCTATACAGATAAGACGCTAGTAAGGACAGAGCCGGATTATTATACTTTTAGGCCACTGATTGATATGTGATGAATTACAAAAGAAGAAGTCAGCTTACACTACATGAGATATCTACAGAATAAATGTACATATGACATTATACATAATCATGGCAGATGACAGAAACCGAACTATTGCAGAAGACACTTTCCATGCACAAGCTCAACCTAATGTGAGTGATCATAATTTTGCAGCTCTCTCTTTAGTAGCTGTTCCAGTAAGGTCAATGGGTTCTGATTTTTGTTGTGGCAACAGAAAGCACTGGTTGAACACAGGGACTGACATGAGGCAAACATGATGAACTGATATGAAACTGAGAAAAATTAAAATATTTGTTAGTTTCCCTTAGCCTCCCTCCTGAGACGAGTTAACCTTATAATTCACACAGAGAAGGTCAAAAAACAATTGCAGTACAAGTCCCAGTGGGATCTGGAAAAATTAATCCTCACGCTGGACTTGTCCTTTCAGCTTTCAGTGCTCTTGGCACCATCCACTATCTGAGCAACACAGATAAAGCCAGACCTCTCCCTCCATGGAAAACAATCTTGATTTATCATTTGTAAGATATTACTAAGTAGCATGCATGGAAAAAAATTATTCATTCCCTTAAACTCCATAAAAATCAGCATCCCCTGCTCATGTGGACTTTATGACTCCAGTAGGGCAGTTCCAACCCCAGCAACCTCAATTTGCAATAGCTTGTGATTAAACTTCTTGGCTAGATCACCATCTCCCCTAAAAATGTCGAAATCACAGTATGGATGAATGAAGGCCCCGCTAACCTTAGGTAAGCCCTGGGGGTCTTTCTCCTTCTTGGAGCACAATGTGAGCTCACACTGTAGGAAGAGCAGCGAGGTATTGAAGACGGACTTAAAAACAAAGCTGAATCGCTTCTTATCTATCTCGGCTTGTGGGATAGGAAAGAGCACTCTCTTGGGATTATAGAATTTCACTGATTCATCTTTAGGACAAATATTCTCAATGATGGTGTAATCAGACATCCTATCAGGGTTTGAATAGGGAGAGATAAAGCATGTTTGGATGGCAAATCCCAGATCTTGGTCAGCCTTAGTAACAGACACCTGCAAAAGAACAGAAAGATGAACAAAAACAAGTCAGCATCTCACTCTTAACTTTTATTTTAGGCATAATGGTACTATGCCAACATGACCCTTTGATTTGAAAAACTGGTCAATTTTCTTACAATGTTGTTAATTTTTGCACAGTATTTGATCACTCACCTCAGAGGTAGTCTCCAGAGATCTTCCACCACACTAGAACCTGTGTTCCATCACCACAGCCCCTTATGCTCTCCCTCCCATGCATGCCATGGTCAGCTTCTACGTTTTGCCTTTTTCCTGACCCTTTGTTTGATTTCTTATCTTCCACATATAAGAGAAACCACCCCACATTTATCCTTTTCCTTCTGAATTTTTTTGCTTAGCATAACCCCTTCCAGCTCCATCTGTGTTGCCAAAAAATGACCTGAGTTTAGATTTTTGATTGCTGAGTAGTATTCCACCAACATGGCCCTTCTGATGAGAGACACTGCTTTATCCTGACAATATACTTATACAGCCTTCTCATTACAAAAATCACATACACTCATTGAAGAAAGAAATGTTTTCCATTTAGACTTGATATGGATGGTGTCAATGAATTTACTTCATTCAAATGCTAGCCTGGAAGGTTCCGACACAAGATGCCTAAGTCTCTTTCATACAGCATCTGGGAGATAAAAAATAAAAGCACACCGCACACCTCAAGTGGATGTTCCAAAAGGAATAAAATGACAACAGGCAAAGCCCTAGTGCTGTGATAATGTGTCATTTGTAAGGCAAGCTCTTTAAAAAGTGCACAGAAGATGAAGTACAGAGGTAGAATCTACTTAGCCTAGGCTTCTCGATGGCTACACGTCACAGTGTGTATGAAACACTAGAGGGGAGCTGGGGCCCCATCTACACTCCTGCTCCATGTGGATGCTACTTAGGACAGGCGGTCCTGTCCCTGGGGAGATGACAGACTGTGCAATCTGGTGGCAATCAGTTTCCCAGCTGCTCCCAGGTCTAAATCAGACTTTGCCAAGTACTCTCCCTTCCCTCTTTAAGCCCAAGAGTATTTTAAGGGAAATTTAATCTGGAAACATTTCCGAGTCATTTACACTTCCCTCTCACAAAACATTTGTATGGGCAAGGTCCAAACCATGTTACGGTTCTTTTCTTTAGATGCAGGAAGTGGTGCTTGGCCAAGTATAAACAGAATTCAAACCTCAACTATCCTGAACTTAGCTAAAATCTCTGGACCAGGCTGGATTCTCCATTTGGTGACACATGGATCACTGTATGAATCACCCCTCCCTGCTCTGCCTCATTCCTTGACTAAACTTAGGATCAAAATAAACTTAAACACTTTAGAAATAAAGTTAAAGCTAACCCTTGGCCATAGGTCAATAGTCCCAGAGCCTTTCAAAAAGTGATATAAACACATTTTCCATTGTGAGACTCCCTCGGGAAATCCCTGACGTGGCTCGGAGCTTTTAGTCCCTGATACTATCTTAAAAGGTCCCTACACAGTTAGCTGCAAGACACTCAGCAGTGGAGATGATTATGGTCATGTCCCTTTGCAGGGCCATAAAGCTAATCTCTCACAACAATCTTGCAATAAATATTTTTATCTTCATCTTATAAATGGAGGAAAACAGAACACAGAGGATAGGGAACCTAGCAAATACTGATTAAACCAAGCAAATACTGATTAAACCAAGGCTTCAATCCAGGTCTTTTGACCCCTTGTTTATTTTCTCTTTATTATTTGTCTATAGCCAGAGGGTCAATTCAACCAGGCCTAAGATGTGGCCTGAAAAGAATAATTACTGAGAAAGCTTTCTAGGAGTAGTGGTAGATCAATCTGTAAATATTCACACCTAATTGTTATTATGATATTGCTGAAAAACAAGACATTTTATCTTGGGAAGTTACATATGCCCCACTATTAAATGATAACGTACAAGGACAGAATTAATCTAAGGTGTTCCAAAAGCTGATTTAGAGGGGGAAAAAATGCCAGTAAATCTTTTTTACTTTAAAATGGATGGGAAACAAGTAGCAGACTCCAGGCTTTAGAGCAGACAAGTCCCAGGAAATCACAGGTCCTGCTGCTCCTGCACCATGAACCCCAAGCCTCAGTTTCCTCCCATTCAGACTGAGGACACTTGTTCCCGCTGAAGTGGGAATCTATAGTCAAAATTAGTTGCAAGCAATATAGCTCCCAGTGCCAGCTACGATTAGTAAAACTATTTTAGATTTAAATGTGGGGGGTTGTAAAAATTTTAAAAGTTCCCAAGACAAATGAACTAAAAGAAAAGCTGCTATCACATGGCCAACTGTCACCCAAAGACAGGTGACAGAACTGAAAATGTTCAGATTGAAGGAGGGGGCTGTCTAGAGGTGGTAGAGGATTCTGGGAGGGGAGTGAGAGGAAGCCAGTCCAAGAGAAGAAACCTGGGAACAGTTCTTCAGGCCAAGCCAATAATTGGGAAATTTTACTTAAAGAAAATATTTTAAAACTACTGCAAAAAGATATGGTTCATTTCTTCACTTGACAATTAGAGTTTGGTAAAATTTTAATTATGAAAAATAGTAGTGATATTGAAAAGATATAAAGGGAAAATAAAATTAAAAAGAGAAAACCATATGTCAATTAAGTCAGCACCAGATCAGTGAGGCAGAAATATCCAAACATCCTTGGTAAGTTACATGAGAAAGACGGGATGCTGATTAGCACAAAGCAGAAAGGCTATAAATTAACAAAGGCAGGCACACGCTGGGAAAGGAACCAAATGCACTTAAGCGGCACCCCTGAAATCCACAGCACAGCAGGGAGTCATGTGAATTGTGCAGCCAGAAAAGGAAGAAAATAAATGATCTTGGATCAGGGGAGATAGATCTGTGATTAGGGAAAGCAGTATCTTTTCCCCAGAGGAGAAAGAATGTTGTACCCAAAGAAAAAGAAGAACTCTCAAAACAGGGAATCACAGAATAGGAGAGATCCAAGAAAACGTCTAGAGCCAGTGAGCTCTGTCCAGAATCAGCACAAAGTGAGAGTTATTTGTCTTTCTAAAATAGAAATATGTGCACTGAAGTCACTTTTAATATATGGAAGTATCTCATTTCAACCCTTTAAGCTGCTTACCCCTCCCACAGTGAAGCAGAACAGCTTGCAGCTTAACACCAAACCCAGCTCCTCAGATGCCGACTTCCCTGTAAGACCAGCAGACATCCTGGGGCCATAAGGATATTTATCTTCTCTAGAATCCAATCTGTGAACCTGGATATTTGCACAGCTAAGAGGTTGTAATTTCTCCCTTTGCAAAAGGCAGTTTGAAGACGTAACAGAGGATGATAACGTGGCCTCTGCAGCCAGTCTGAGTATGAACTGTGAACTCTACTAGAGATCAGCTGTGTTGATTCAGGACAAGTGTGTGCCTCAGTTTTCTCCTCCATAAAATGGGAATATTAATAGTCCCATCTCATAGGGTTGCTCTTAAGAGTAGATCCATTATGAGAATACTTAAAACAACTGGCACATAATCAATCTGTGGTAGATGTTAATGGTTGCTATTTCATTATTACTACCACTAATATTTTCCAAAGATTTATGCTATGTATGATTATTAGCATTATATCTAAGAGTCTTATATGGCAGTACCCAGAATTTCACTGAAGAATGTGCAAGACAGTGTGTGAGGTACTCTGGAATATTCTCTGGTTAATTCTGACATTGCAACTACTGAATTACTGGTCTAAAAATGCTAAGGACAAAGCAAGGATAGGGTTTTATTAATAGAATTAATATTCTGATTTTTTTTAACCTATATATGAAATAGTCTTTCCATTTAATATAATATAATGAATCCTGAAGTTTCCTGCTTTCGTCAGAAATTCACCCGGGGACCCTCGCTGGTGGCACAACGGGTTAAAATATAGCACTAAGGGCCCTCGGTGGTGGTGCAAAGGGTTAAAGCACAGCACTAAAAAGCTAAAGCCACTTCAGTGTGAGTTCGATCCCTGCCCTGGAGGTGACCCACATGGTGCAGCAGACCTCTCCTGACCCGCCTGCTCTCAGTCCTGATCCCCACAGCAGTGTACTTTGTCAATCTGCCTGTTCTACTCCCCACTCTGTCTCTGGTGAATCCTCTCACTGCTCCTGCAGCTCTGGCCTGTACCCCAGTTCTGTATGCATAAATAAATAAATCTCATTTAAAAAAAATGTAGTACTATGAAACTATCAGCAGCCACTGCAAAAGAAGTTTGATCCCTAGCCATGGAGGTGATCCAAATGGTACAGCAGTCCTCTCTTGTTTTGCCTGCTGTGTATTTCAGTCAATCTGCTATTCTGCTTCCCATTCTTTCTTTGCTGAATCCTCTCAACCCCCACCCGCACACCTCTGGCTTGTACCCCAGTTTTTGTATGCATAAATAAATAAACATTTGGGGGGAAAAAAAAGAGAGAGAGAATGCACTGGGAATTACTCCTGAGCCACACCTTGCCCAGAGCAAGTCAAGGGTTGTGAGGAAGAGCAGTGGGCTGCTACAGGATGCTTTAGGCCCAGGAACTGCTACAGCTCAGGGCTAACCCAAAAGTCCAAGGCCAACATCTGGTCTCACCTCAACATAAACGTGTCCATTCTCTGCCACAGAGAAGACTCCCTGAGATGGCACCAAGAAGAGGTCTGTGTTGTACAGCTCCATGTTGAAGGTGACGTTTCTGTTGTGTGGGTCATGGAAGCTACTGGGATTCCTCACCTGCCTCAGGCTGCAGTTAAACTGGAATAGAACCAGGTGGACATAAATCAGTCAAATGAAGATCCTGTACGTGCTGAGTTTTGGTCTTCACAACCATTTTCTTTTTTCAACACTCCCAAATTAAAGTCAACCCAAACAAATAAACAAAGAACTAAATAAACAAAGAACTCGCCACAGATGTTCTATTACAAACTAACACCTACCGACACAATTTCTGATGGACCAAAGAAGTTTGGAAATTCTCCTTCCTCCACCTCTCCTGGGAATCCATTGTCACCTGACTCGAGGTCTTCATAGCCATCTGCCCAACCACTGCTGTCCTCAGGGGAGGGGACCCGTATCACGATCTAAAAGGCAAAAAAAGCACAGATAAAGCTGAAAATAAATATCACAGGTATTTGCTTCTATTCTACATACACTCATGCACAAATTCAGAAACAAACTGAAAATGTGGCTTAAAAAAATCTCCAAGTTTTTTTATGATTTTATCTTCAAAGAGATGAAAAACAAAGAGAAGCTCAATGCATGTTCAAAATAGGATCTGAACTAAAATATCTCATTTCCCTTGTGAAAAAAATACAAATTATATCAAATAGTTGGAGAACCTTAGACACTAATGCAGGGTGAACTGTCAATGGGAAAAAGCTACCCCTGAGGGGTCTTTATACTGAAAACTCTAAGATCAGTAGGAATTGACTGGTGGGAGTAACTTTTGTTATTTAAATTCATCAAGATTTGAATAAAGTCTGGTGTGAGCAAGAAGCAAAGGAACTAATGTTTGTCCCAAATTGTTCTCTCATCATTCCCCCCCATATCTTTCTGTATGCTTTACAGATGCAGAAAAGAACATTGGATTTTCAGCTCATGACAATTTAGCTTAATCTCTGTTGAAATGATTGTGCCTAAGTTAGTACTAGAGAAGATGAAAAAATTCACCTAAAGATCACAGTTCCAAAACAAAAACCTAACTTCCTTGTACGTGTAGAATAGTCATACGTTTTTCAGGTTTTATTTTTTTCTTATATTTTTAATTATGTTGCAATAGTTGCATAGTAAGTCTGAAAATTATTAGAAACAATTCTAATGGGAACAAACCAATGAAAATACTCACTGAGTATTTATACTACTCTGTTTATGCTACGTTCTTAAAAGAAAGTATTGATGCATTTGAAGCAAGTACTGGAATAATTACATTGCAGTAATTATATATGTGTGTGTATACACACACATAAACTGAATAGACAGATTACCATAGCTTCTTACTGATATTAATTTTGACACTATTTGAAATTCCATAATCAACTATATCAGTAATAATTCCATAATCAAGTGCATCAGTAATACATGACATCTATTATATCTGGAAAACTAGATAATTGCAAGAAAAGGAGTGTTGAAATTGGCAAGAACATATTCATTATAAAAGTCAAAGGTTAATACATTATTCCAGTAACAAAGGGAGATTAGCAGGGCCAGCCTAGTGTCAGGGAAAGGATAGTGGCCCAGAGGTCAGCAAGCTGGACTCAGTCCTGACTGCCCTCAACTAGTCATTCAAACTCCAGTGAGTCTCTTAACTCTCCATAGTTCAATTTCCTCATTTGTGAAATGAGGAGGTTAAATGAGATTGTCTGAGAGTTCTTTCCAGCTCAAATGTTCTAAGATGGCCTAGGAACAATATGCATGGGCTCAAAGGAGGGCTGATGCCCCTTGCAAGAGCCACCCCTGGGTCACTGTGCTCTGGGTGGATCAAGCATCACCTGGCAGTGTAGAGAATCAGCAATCACATCCCGCCCTGTCCCAAGCAAAAGTTGAAACACAGTGTCAAAGCTGGACACAGGTGCCTTAAAAGTACAGCTTAAACTGCAAAATTAACACTACAGAGTTATTTTGAAGTTTCATGTTTAAGTTCTTTTAACACTGGTTGACTAACATTGTCTAACACAGTCTCCATCTCTGCAAGAATAGGATTAATTGGAAGAGAAGACTTAGATGAACTGCTAAGAATGATTTCTGAAAAGTGAAGGTTAGTTATTGCAATGGAATATCATTGAGTCTCCCTGACAATTTAGAGTCTTTCTTAGAGGTGGAAAGACTTACTAATTTAATTATCATTAATCTAATAATAATTTCTTGAAGGCACATTTCAGATTTTTCATTTGCTCCTGAAGGAGGGAGAGTTTTCTTACTTCTAGATGCAAGTCAGCAAGACCTGAGAGACCAGGACCCGGTTAGCTGATTACCTGGATGTGCTCACTCATAGGCTTGGATTTGAACCTCATAAGGACAGGTCATTTGACCCTGCAGCTTGGCCAGAGAGAAAAGTCATAATCACCTTGCCGGTGAGCCCTTTGCCACCAGGAGACAGAAAGGGCAGATGGGAGACATACACCACAATTGCTGCGTCTGAGAAAACAGTTCCTCCTAATTCCCACAGATATGCTAATAAAACAATCACAAGAATTCAAGATCAAATCACCTCCCATTTTGTTGAGAAGTGACATTTGGCTTTGTTCAAATCTGGGACACAGGCCCCCCCGTAAGTCTAACTTTAAGGTCATACCCAACAAGTTTCTGGCAAAGGGCCAGGCTTAGTTCTGAGAACACTCACAGAGTTATAGTAAACCACCCCATCAGGGGCTGACAGTCGGTGCGAAGTACCACAGCCACTCAGCGGAGACTCCAAAATGAAGTGGGTGCCATTCATCTTGGCCTTACAGGTAGGATCCAATAGGGTGAGCTCAATTCCAGAGTAGCTGTTGGCCTGAAATAATAACCACCAAAGACATATGAGGGGAGAGGGGAAGGTTGGCCCACAGGCAGTGCTGGACACAGTTAATACATTCTGCCTCATTTCCCAAGTAACAGTTGCTGAAGGCTGGTATTCCCCTACCCCTTAGCTCAACGATTGTGTTTGTTAGCCTTGAAAATTCAACAGCAAAATACTGACACACAAGGATCTGGAACCCCCCCTCACCGAAAACAACAGGAACGGCATAAGAATCCCAGCCAAGGGGAAGTAAGCCCATCCAACTGAGAAAACAGTATCAAATCATGGGAGTTCAAAAGTGAAAGAGTTTGAGGGAGTAACTAACAGATGAGGGCCTCCTCTCCATTAAAGAACAGCACTGACCTGGAAAGAATCTTTTTCTACGGCCACAATCATCTTTTCATTGTCGCATTTGACTGACAAGGCAACATCCATGCTCCCTTGCACCTCCTCGGGCTCTCTGGGGCCAGGGAACAGTTGTATGCTGGGAATGGCAGGGTCCTTCGGCCTGGGGATGTCCTCTTCTCCCCCTTCCTCATGGCCTCTCATGGAGATATCAGGAAAAGGAAAGGGGAAACCTCCACTTCGGCCTCCCCCTCCCCGGATGGGTGGGTCCAGCAGGATCCGTAGCTCAGGAGGGATGGTGTGCACTTCCTCATCCCTCATCTCCTCTGGTGGTGACAGAAGGCAAGAAATCATCAGCGTTTGATGTCAGGCCAAAATCATCATCATGAGGATACAACAGAAGGAATCAGCACAGAATGGGGTGTGTGAAATCACCCATAACAAGCAATGCATGGAAGAGATGAGACTTCTAGAAGCCTAAATTCTAGTCCTGCTGTTCCTTCTAACTGACTCTGGGCAAATGGCTTATTTTTCTGTGTCGTCAGTTTCCCACTCTTTTTAAATTAAGGAGTTTGAATAGGTCACATGTTCTCAACTTTGGCTGCACACTAAAATCACATTGGGAGCTTAGAAACAAATCCATAGGCACAGGCTGTACCCCAAGTCAATTAAAAACGGGACTTTCTTGGAGGTGCTTAATTATCAATATGTGTGCTTACGATGTGCAGTCAAGGTTTAGAACTACTGGATGAGAGACAGGATTTCTGGAGCTCTACAAGCTTTAGAAATCTATGATTTAAGTAAATTATGTGGGACAATATTATTCCATCCAAATGCCGCTAAAATACTTCCTTGAATTATAAAGATTCTCTAGTTTTTCTGTACTGTTCTTGAAACAATATTGGTATTTTAACATTATTTGTTATCTCCTTTTTGGCACTAAATTCTAACAGGGACCTGGGTGCCCTAGCCTTTTAAGATAAAGGCCCAAAGAAGAAAAAACTACTTTGGTATATTTCCATACGATTAATAGTCAGAACATTGTCATACTGACTTCACAACAGATTAGAGGGAGAAAATTTCTGAGTGTCCACTACATCTGCTCTGCAGAGGCAACTGAAGTATGTTTCAGTTAACCTACCTCATGGACACTAGCACTATCTTTTTTAAAAGCATGGCACAACTGTTAAGTGTCCAGAGTAGGAACTCAAGCTTTGGAAGATTTTTTAAAATTCATTTATGCTTACAGAACTGGGGTACATGCCAGAGGTGTGTTGGGTGAGAGACAGAGTGGGGAGACAGAGTAAGGAACAGAACCGGCAGATGTACTGAAATACACTCCTGAGGGGAGCAGGGGCAGGACAGGAGAGGTCCGCTGTACCATGTGGGTCAATTGTGGCTTCTGAGAGTTTCATTGTGCAGTGTTTTAACCCACTGTACTACCGGGGAGAGCCTGCTTTGGAAGGCTCTACTTTGTAAAAACTTTCACAAAAAGCCTGTGATGTAGGTAAAAGGCCTGTGAAGTAGGTCTCATTGCTGCCCCTCTCACTGAGGAAGAAACTGATACAGATGTTAAGTGGCTGTACCCTAAATAGTGAATAAATAGCAAAAGTGGGATTGACTCTCCTCATTCTGAGAGGAATATCATGAGGTACTATGAAGGACAGCTCTGGGGATCAGAAAACCTGGGGTTTGAGTCTTGCTGGCTAGAAAACTCTGGAAAACCTCAAGAATTTTCTAAGCCTCTGCTCACTACTCCATCAAACTAGGATAAGAACTCCTACATTCCCTCTGGGTAGGACTAAAAGAGTGACATATACACTTGAGTACCTGAGACAGTTTTCCAATAGGCTTAAAGCTTCTTCTAACTTAGGACCTTTCTCCTGCAGGCTCCAACCCTCAGTATCTCAGTCATAAATGATTTCTAGGTACCTCTGGGAGAATCCCACTCATTTATCTTTAGTGTAATCACAGTGAAAGTAAATACAACCTGCTCAACTCATGTTACTGAAAAATCTGCATTATAATGACTTTCCTCAAAATAACTTATCTCAATTCTCAATAACTTTAAACTTGACGTAAAACCTCATTAGACAAACAAGTCATTAAAATATGTGACAGAAAAACAGCACCATCTATGTTAAAATAAGAGTTCCTCTTTGGAAAGTACCATCTGGGGGTTATTTTTTACATACTTTTAAAGTCATACTTACCATTATTTTCAAGCCGAAGATGAAATCTATTAGCCACAGGAGCCACTGTGTATGATGTGATGGGACTGTAGCCATTGTCCAAAGCCCACTTGATCAGGTTTTCTTGGGTTGAAGGGATATCATCTCTTATTGATTTGGTCATTACCATGGATCGTTCACTCTCTTTACCAAAGCCAATACTGTTGGGGGCCTACAGATAATTGCACAGTTTCACTTGGGAGAATAAAATTACACAGTGTTTTAAACAAATTATTTCTGCAGTAAACAGACTCTATATTGTCCTTGAGGGATTTTTTCTTTTTATCCTTATTAGTATTCTTGACTAAGAATACTAATGTGAAAATCCTTAACAGCAGATTAAGAGACATTTTTTCAGGCTTTTTGGTTACACCACTTGGCGTGTATGTGTTGACAAAAATATCCATTAGTATGAGTAGTTACATACTAATATACCTAGTATGTTATACTAGGTATAGTAACAAACACCAAATTACGTATACCAAAGTTTATCTTATATATTCTTATTTAAAATTATATATAAAGGATACAGATGTACATCTTATGGTACAAAAAAATAGCTAAGGTTTGCCTTCCTATATCCTAGATTTCTATATCCTAGATTTAGTTGAAAGAAGGCACAAATGAGTGATTTCAGTGTGGAGACAACTCCATCTTTGTAACTATTAAATTCCATATGGAATTTAACATCTCATTTATGAGCAACCAATTTTACACTTTACTTATAACTTAGGACATTTTTCGCAATCCTGTAATTGTATTCATTTGCCAACTCTACTAATTGAATGATTAGATTTTCTGTTCTATATATGAATTAGTTCAAGTTACTTTTCCCCTAAGTACCAATATCTTATCCAGCCATACAAGTCTTAAAAATCGGTATTTACTTGACAAAGTTCAAATTAGAGGTGGGTGATGATCTCTTTCAAGAAAAGTATATAAAGGCTTCTGAGAAACCAGGATAGGGAAGGCAAATGCCGCATTACCTTCTCTCTCCTCTAGCAGTTACCCTGTCAGAGTGAGGAAGCTGAAATCTGCACAGGGGGCCCCAACAGGAAGGTACCATAGTTCCAACAATTACTCCGACAGAGCTGGAAGGTCCATTAAGCATGCAACTTACCCATTTTCATGCCATATAAAAATCCCTTTAATTTCCATGCCCAATTATTTTCTCTTGCATACATGCAGCATTTTTCCTAAATTCCCCATTCGTTTCCCTTTCAGTGTGCTCCTAACATGACTAAATATTAATCCTTTCCCACTATAAAACCATAGACGATTCACAGGCTCTAAGTTCTCTTGGCCTTTTCCGTTGTGGGATACCGGCTTAAGTACACATATCTTAATTTAAAGCTTAAAAGAATCTCACCCAGTATAATTTTCTGTTACCCAAAGGACTTATCTGAGGAAAAACTGCCAGACTGAGTCACAATCAAGCATGTAGAGGAACCAGACAAGAGCTTTCACCCAATTCTGGAGCCATTTGCAAAATAAACCCTGTTGCACAGGTGTTGACTATTTTAGCTCTTATTCTGATTCAGTTCCTGGGAGGTGGGAGAGGGGGAGGGGGAGGAGAATGATTAATTAGATGATTAATTAATTAATTAGAAAAAGGAAAACTAAAATAAGGTATAGAAGGACCCAATTTGTTCTTAGAACTCTGTACTCATTTAGTCAACAGCAGATTCTTAGGCACAGCTTCTTCCAGCCTTTCAAAGCAGCGTTTCATTTAGATTGGCTGGAGTTGTAACACTGGCCTAAACAATACTCTTGGCCTCATCTGCCCTCGTCTTTCATGTTGCTGGACAGCTGAGAAAATACTGTAGGCTCAGAATTCTCTCATCATGACTGCCACCTGTCCTTTGTACCAATATGAAATGATCTGTTTATACCTTTCCACATTACATCGGAGCCAGTACAACTCATATTAATCCTGCCTCAGCTCTTCCAAAGCTCGACAGTTTTTACATATTTGTGAAGCAGCATGGCTTCAGACAATGGCAGGCAAGGTGGTTCCAGCAATGAGGGAAATCCTCACCCTGTATTTCTAAGGGTCCCCAGGCTTTTCCATGGTCTCAGTGTCATTACTTGAGAAAGAGTTGAAGGTGGTCTGCACATATCACCACCATCTTTCCAGTGACAGCGGCATGAAGATGAGGAGCTGAGTGGAGTCTAGTGCCTCTTCCCCCACCGCCAACACACACTTGCGTCAGAACTGCTGGTGGTGGGAGAAGGGGTTGCCTGACGGAGGGGTTGGCCAGAGAGTGTAAGGCATATTCCCACTGGGATGAAAGCGTGTTTTTTCTAAGAACCCAGCTGGCTATTGCCAACCTGGAAGGTCTGAGGCCACATGAATTAATACGACAGGAAATTTCTAACAAGTTTCCTCCATCTATTCTTTTATGTTTTGAAGTTTTTCCAAAATGTAATTATGCATGGCCCAAAAGGGACCTAAGAAAAAGGCAGAATTGGGCACGTCAATGTGAACCTTGAGGTTCTCCTTGCACAATGCAAGAAGTCTCTGAGTCCCACCAAACCATTCTGGCATTTGGAGGGCATGTTCTGTCCCACCCTCAGCACACACGCATAAACTACCCAGTTTAACAGTGTTCTTTAAAGGTAGCCCATCAAGTTCTTTATAATTCCTTTAGCAGGAAAGTTTCTTTGTCTAGAGATGTAAAGAGCTGCTTATAGAAGGATGTCGAACCCCCTTTTTATGGGAGACACTGTGCTAGGAGCATATTATCTTTATCTCTCCTGCCAAATATATGGAAATAGGTATTGCTATTCATTTGTTAGAGAAGGGGAACTTGAAACTCATTACAGTTAAATAACTCAGGTAGCTGAGAACTCAGCCTGTGTAGGGAGAGTGCTTTAGGAATGGCCACAGGCCCTTAATGAATATTTGTTGGATAAATGAACAAATAAACTCTGCTAAGTAATCTCAAGGTGAGTGTGTCATCACACCCATTTCACAGGCAAGTACACAGACGCAGAGCTCTGTTGGATTGCCCAGCACCAGCTGAGGGGAATGTCAGTTGGCGATGAGTTTTGAACGCAGCCCCGTTTGGCACCAAAGTTGGGATTCTTTCCTCTCTACCACCATGTCCCCAAAGGAAATTCTATCAACAAGTCACTGAACCACTTCCCTCTTTTGAAGCACAAACTTATACCATTTTTTTTGTTTGTTTTGTTTTAGCAGGTACCTTTCCCTCAAAGCAGTCAGAACTCACATTTGAGACGGGGAATTAAGAAGTCACAAAGCATGAAACTGATTGGGGGAATAAAAAAGAACACTGTGAAACATTACCTAATTGTTTAGTAATGTTGTCGTGCATTGTCCAAAATTGGCCTGGAACAGGAGTACAGCCAAGGAGAGGAATATAAACAAATCTTGTGCTGGGGATGAGCAATCTTATTTCTAGCCTTTCTGATGCTCTGAGGAGTGGGGACATTCAGAAAGGACTCCTGGGCTGCGTGGACCAGCCACACACTCAGGGAGAAGGCCACGAAAGGGTCAGGCCCAAAAGAACATTTACACAAGAACTCCAGCAGGGAATTAAAATGTACCGTATGTTTTTTGCCTTTCAAAGCATGATTCCCTTTCCTGTTTTTGTTATTCTGAAATTAAAAACATTTGGTTGGTGTGCCAGGCAGCAAAGGCTGCAGACACCCCAGGTCACCAACACCCTCCTGCCATGCCAGAGAGGGCAATCAAAACATTTCTGACTATAGAAAGTCATGACTGGGCTCTGTGCTTAGCACCAAATTAATATATCACCATTATAGGTGATGGCTTACTGGAATCCTCTCAAAGTTTTTTTTAAAAAAACCACCCACAGGAACCAGAAGTGATTACTTTAAAATTCAGATGTGTGCTCTGGCTTTCCGGCTGCCACTGGTGGGGGCGTGTGCATGATGTTGCCTAGGGGACCGCTGGCTTTGTTCACTACTGTACCACATAGAAGGTGCCATGGAGAATACTCAAACCAAAGGCTTTGTTTGTTTATGTTATGAAAACATCAAACCTGCCCCAATGGATTCAATGCAGGTGCTGAAAGCAGAATCCTTCACAAATTTTTAAGAAGATAAGAAAAACAATTAAGCCTATGAAGGAGGTGGTTAAAGAACTCATTATCACCTTTAAAATGATCTTTTAAAATGGGGGATTTTTTTCTTTAATGTTCAATATAATTCATGCTAAGATTCTATGTCAAATAGTTATCTTCCTAAATGTATTTGAAAAGACTTACTTGACCACATTTGAATATTCAACTTATCAGGAAACCGGCTGCTTTTGCCTATCATGCCAACCACTTCAGCTCTGAGGTCCCTCATGAAGCATGATGCTCAGGAAATAGCCAGCCTACACTTTTCCTGCAGCATCTCACCCTAAACCCTCCAATATGGTGATTTTTTTTTTTTAAGATTTATTTATTTGTGCATACAGAACTGGGGTACAGGCCAGAGGCTCAGGGGCGGTGAGAGGCTTCACCAGAGACAGAGTGGGGAACAGAACAGGCAGATCGACGAAGTACACTGCTGAGGGGAGCAGCAGGCGGGTCAGGAGAGGTCTGCCACGCCATGTGGTCACCTCCGGGGCAGGCGGAATTGAACTCATGCAGAAGCGGCTTTAGATTCTCAGTGCTGTGCTTTAACCTGCTGCGCCACCAGGGAGGGCCACCAATATGGTGATTTTTATCAGTGTTTCATCCTTAGAAGGAAGAAGCAAGCCCAAGGGCATGCTAGTATCACATATTTATTTCAAAAAGAAAAGCCGACAGTGTGGGCCTACCTAATTTTCCACACCCTAAATACCTGACCCCCAAGTGAGAGCTGATTATCAGGATCATAACACCATTCAGGACCTCACAGGACTCTCAACAACGAAAGGCTTGTGTTCACTATGGCTAAGACATTTTCATTTACACAAATAAAGCAACTGGGGTCCACAGAGTAGAAAAGTTTTGCCCAACGTGACAATTTGTAAGTGGCTGATTCTGGACCCAAGTCCTAATCTGTCTTGACCCCAAACACCATGCTTTTAACTACCATAAGGCCTACCTTGTCAGGAGAAGCTAAAGAGCAGCCCATTTTACAAGGTGAAAAATACTTGAGAGCCCATACAGAAAGCTCAAAGCTGCCGAAACTTTACAAAAATAACATTACAAACATAGCTTACATGTTTACTATTCATCAAAACAAAGAAACGCTCAAACAACTTACAATCACTTTCAGGTTTCCCTTAACATCGAAAGATTTGATCACCCAGTTGACAGACTTTTTGCACTTCAAGATCAGGATAAGATTTTTGACCACCTCAGGATCTTTTCGAGAAGGTCTTATGTCAATTGTGATGTCCACCTGGAAAGCACTGTGAGTGGAAAACAAAGGCAGAGTTAGGACCAGAAAGAACGCCAGAAAGTTGCAACTATCTCCCTTCTTCCAAGTCTTCGTGTTTCCAGTGTCTGGCCAGTTGATTAAAAAGCTGGAGCAGATCCCAGTCCAGTGACATGTGCAAAACAGATTGTTAGTACACACACAACAAAATGACTTTACATAACAATAGAAAAATACAGCTGCTGATAATTAGTCCCTAAATTTTTTCTTCTTTGGAAAAAAAAAAAAAGTGGTTACTTAAAGCAGTCACTATTTGAAATGAACTTGACCAAACAGAACAGTTCACTTTGGAAGCAGAAATGTTGCTTTTCAGCCTTCAACTCCTTCACTATTCTCTTATATGGTTAGCTTCATGCTCTCTATTATAGGGTTAGCAGCTTGATGAGTTGGGGTACAAAGACGAGGGAGGTGTGGCAATAAAAAAAGGAAACTTCAGAATAAAGTAAGAGGCAAAAGGCTGGAGGATTTCTTAACTTCTATACAGTTTGCTTAAGCCATTAACATCTGCTACAAAATCATATGTGTACTTACTTGCCCAAACTTCTGGATATGGAGTTATTAAAATAAAGAAAACAGATGGTCAACCAAGTGATTAGTGGAAAATTGATGAACACAACCTAAACTTCTAAGAATTCCATATAAAAGAGAATTTTTATTGACCAAACAATAACATCTCTGTCATTCTGAATTTAAAGGCAAGTCTTTCTTTCCAGTTTGGTTTTATACACTGGGAAAACAGAAAATGAATGATCTACTCCAATGAAGCCTGAAGCTTAGTATCTAAGCACATTTGCCAGATTGCTTCTACCCTCATTCACGTTTCTTTTTCTATAAAATCCATCGTATAGGACTGAATGGAATCGCTTTTTAAATTAAACGTGATTAAAATACTAACTTTGGAATCCTTATACAAAATATATGTACATTTGTAAGTACCTAGTACCCAAAAGATACAGGCTAAAGCAGAAGAATGGCCTACTTTCTCCCCATTTCTTGTTTTAATTCCCTCATCATTCTTGATAGGGAGAGTTAAATTTCCAATTCCCGGAGCAGGAAGCTGAGGGTGGGAGAGAGAACAAGAACAAGAGGAAGAGGCAAGTTGTACCTAATGGCTATATAGGGTCACCACCACGAAAGGCTACTCCACCACCCACACACACGCGCACACACACAGCTTTATAACAGTTATGAAGACTCTCAACAGAATTTTACTAAAAACAGAATGTCATTAAAAGAACTATGTTAATAAGGCAAATTATATAATTTTCTTAGCAGGGAACATCTCAGTCAAGGGGGATAATGATGGAGCAAGAATGATTGTGTCCTATAATTAGTACCCAGAAGTTCAGAACAGGCTTCAGGAAATCATCTGGAATACATGCGATCTATGGACATATGCAGAAAATAAAGCATACCACCAGTGTGCCTCCTTCCTTCAAAGCTTCTGTGGACCACAGAGGCACCGATGGCTTGACCCCACTGCATGGGGAGGTGGGGTGGGGGGAGCTGTGCGGGTGCTTCTCCTTGCCTTGAGCCAGGAGACATCTTTCCTTTCACCTCTTCTCAGCTCAGAACACTCACGCACACGCACACACTCACCTGTAGGGGTTCGAGTTGGGGGTGATTAACTCGATGATGTGTACTTCCTTATCCTGGGGCTGGTTGGAGATGACACACCCTTCTGCCGCCTTGGGCTGAAGATACTCAGCAAGGTAATTGAGTGACAGAAAATTCTTCCCTATGTTGCACTTGGGAGGGAACACTTGATCTAGAAATAGAGAAGCAGAGGACAATCTATCAAACCACTGGGCTACGGTGGCAGCCGGGCTGGCAGGAAGGAAGGTGGCGTGGTGCTGAGCGAGTGCAGGACACAGGACCCTCGACCTCTGTGCTGAATGCCTTCCCTTAGGGTCACCAGGGACCCCTCTACTGACAACCCGAGGCCTCTTTTTGTCCAAACTGACTTGTTTCCTGTTTAATGCGATACTTCTTTGCCCTCATTGATTTCTGGACTTATCTTTCCGCTTTCATGGGCTCCCCGTCCTCTGCTCATCTGGTAAACACTAGTGGTCCTTAGTCTTTGACGCACATCAGAAACCATCTGTTTGTTCCCATCCCCGAGAGCGTGACTCAGGAGATCTGGAGGGGAATGGCTACCTAAGCAGCTTTTTATTTTTAAGTTCCACAGCCGATCCAATGCTAAGCAACTTAGTTCTGTCCTCAATGCTCTTTCTGTCTGCTGCTCTTCCCAATGATGTCAGTCACTCCTGTCTTCAACTGGTACCTGGATCATCAACTTTACCTCCTTTTCTGTGCTGCAGATTGTGCGCTTACCAGTCTGCTAAGACCTCTCACCTACAAACCGAACAGTTATTTCAGCCGGCTATACACATCACTGAATCCAGGGACCCAGCCTAGCCCCAAACATGCCCCTCTTCAGATATTTCCTATTTCAATTAAAAGAAGAGTCAGCACCTGGTTAATTCTCTGGTCCACCCAATAGAATGAATCATTCCCTTGCACTGATTCCTTGCAGCACCTGATACTCTTATAAACTGAGGTAGGAGTTTGGGGTAAAGTGTAAGGACTCACTTTTTTTTTTTTTGATTTATTAATTTTATTCATACAGAACTGGGGTACAGGCCAGAGATACGGAGGGTGAGAGGATTCACCAGGGACAGAGTGGGGAGCAGAACAGGCAGATTGAAGTACACTGCTGAGGGGAGCAACAGGCAGGACAGGAGAGGTCTGCCACGCCATGTGGTCACCTCCGGGGCAGGTGGGGATCGAACTCATGCGGAAGTGGCTTGAGCTTCTTAGTGCAGTGCTTTAACCTGCTGCGCCACCGGGGAGGGCCAAGGACTCACTTTTACTCTTTCTCACCATCTTGTCACAGACTATTACTGTTTCTATGGCACTTTACAGTTTGGAAGGTGCTTTCAAACACATTCATCCTGCTCATCACCTCTACCAGGACAGTGACGTAGCACCCAGTGTAAAGATGCTCCCCCAAACACATGTGCCGTTAGCACAGCACTGTGGCTGATGAGATTTCCATTCAGTGTTTAAATGTTTAAACAGAACTTGAACTACTGGCAGTGTTACAGCTGGGAGCAGTGTCAAGGAAGTTCTAGGTGCAGCAAACTTTTTTCGAAAGGGGTGATTAATCAGAACCCTGGCACTTTAATGAAACAGACTTCTGCCTTTTTCATTTAATAGACAGGATGCCAGGGTTCAAATCCATATGCAAGTCTCACTCAGGAGTAAGGAATCAGATCAGGAGATTGGACTGACATGCCCTGCTCCTACCCCCGGTCCAAACTGTGCAACCTTCCTTGGGCTGAAATACACAGCACAAACTGTGGTGTCAGGCCGTGCGCACCCTCGGGGTCACCCCTGGTGAAGCACTCAGCTGGCCCCTACCTGCAGGCGTGTGGCAAGAAAGGACTGGCTCCCCATTCTGCATGCTTCTCTAAGACCCCTCCCGAAGAAGTGGCCAGGACTCTGCCAACTGGAACAGCCTCCCCTGTACATCTGCTGAGGGTTTTGCCAGATGAGCAGATGAGGAATGCACATTCTACAGCTGCACATGCCTCCCCCAGATCACAGGGTGGAAAATGATACTGGGGTGGCCAAGGCTGAAATTTAATCAAGAATCAGAAAGTGTGTGCGTGAGCCAGGGAGGGGCCCTATGGCACTCAGGAGACCAGGGCCCTGTGGGGATACTGGCCCGTCTCTACAGGTCATGGGTGTCCTGCCTAGTGTGCATCTGGCCTGCAGCAGGCACCTGGTATAGGTTTCCTGAATCAACAATGATGAGATCTGACACAAAGAACAGAAAAACTCATCTGAGTTGCGACCCTCCTAAGCCACTGAGAAACATGGAATTGTTTCAAAGCTGCTTTTATTAAGCGCTCAAGTCCCATAGGTCATTGTCATGAAGTTGAACAAGCTGATCACTTTTGGTCCTGTATGTGAGTGTGTGTGTGTGTGCGCACATCTGTGTGTGTGTGTGTGTGTGTGTGTGTTTCCCTCCTCCCCCTTCCCCCCATCCCCAAACGACCTGCTGCATGTCTGGCATCAAATCTCATACCAACTGCCAAGTAGAAAGGAAACCACAAAGGGGAATCCCCGGGTAGAAATCTGGCAAGTTTTGGGGGAAAAAGTCACATGCTTGTTTGTATTTTAGGAAAGGGTTGACAAATTACTCTGAAACCTACAATGATATACTCTGAAAGCATGGATAGTAATGCAAATTCCTCTTTTTCCTGCTATAGAAACTGAGACTCCAGTGATAAATCAGAGTGCTGCTTGATGCCTTGGAGTTAACGCAACCAGAGGGGATAACAAGCAAAACTCCTCAGCCAGCCACTGTGAGAGTACAGACAGTCTCCAAGTTATGAGGGTTTCAGTTAGGATTTCTGAACTTAACAATGGCAGGAAGCCACAGGAATTCAGTGGACACCTGCATCTGACACTCTTGGAATGCTGGGAGCAGCATAAAGCCACGGCTCCTAGACACCATTTCAAATTATGATATATTTATCTTACAATGAGTTTATTAGTAATAACCCCACTCTTTGTGAAGAAGACCTATAGAGGTTAGAGTATCGGAATCACTGAAACTGGCTTGTTTCTTAAAACACATGGCTGGACCAATCCCCTGGAGTTTCTGATTTAGTTGGTCTGGGTGGGCCCAAGAACTGACATTACAAGTTCCCAGGGGATGAGTTGGCTGCTGAGACGGGGACACTTCGAGAATCACTGGGGATAGAACAAGAAGAGGCTCATGGCCCGGGATACCTGGTACAGACTGGGGAGAGACAGGGCAGGTTCTTGGAAGCCCAAGAATGAAGCCTCCTCAGGGTCTTACCCACGACAGCTAACGACACTTGTGATCCACAGGCCTTATCAAGGGCCCTCCCTTTCCTCAACAGCCCCCTTCATGGTGACTTATTCCCAGCTGGTAGCTGGAATCAAGTTTCAAGGGCGCTAAAGGTATTACTAAGGAGTTAAAAACTGCTTAGTGAACTGAACCAAGGTTCCCCAACCCTGTGTGTGGCCTTGGGAGAGTCATTTAGGCAGGTGGCTTCTGTGTAGAGAAGCTCATGCACTGTCTAGATTGGAACCCCACATTCTAATTGTTACCATAACACATTTTGTACTTTAACCAATTCCAAGGGGGAAATCAACATTCTTTCATGCTGCTAGCAAATTCAGCGTCAGAAATGCAGCCCATTAGCCAAGGCTCCAAACCCTTATAAGAAGAGATTGTTCATTTTATCCCAATGGGACTTGATCTCTATTATTAGCTACCTGAATAATAAGAGAGATTAGTAACACTGTCAACTTTTGAAATCAACTCCCATCTAATACGTCTTTTCATCTAGGTGGCCTGCTTTCATTTTTAGGTTCTGCTTATTTGGCCAAGACTTACAGTACAGCTTCAGGCAAAAAGCATTAGACTTCAATTCAGGAAACCTGGGTTTGAGTTTTGGCTTTACTGTATCCAAGTAATGTGGATTTGAGCAAATCAGTGTAACCGTCACTAGCTCCATCCTAAAATGGTGGAGAGAACAGTTCCCTCTAGTTTACTGTTGGGGTGAGGAGGGTGTGTGTAAAAGCACCTGTTAGGGGCTACCCTCGTTGCACACTCTACATCACTGTCCACCTTCCCTGCATCTGTCAGGCAGCCCTGATCCAAGCAAGTTCTTTGAACCAGCATTCAACCACCCACCCTGTACTGCCAAGCTCTCTGTAGAGAAGGTGATAACAGCTGTAGAACTCGAAAGGATATGGATGTTTAAAGCCTGGAATGCAGTTTTCAAATGAGCACCTAACTGTAACAAAGACAAATTTAGAGAATTGTTCTCTCTAAAAACTTATGAGTGGCCCTCCCTGGTGGCGCAGCGGGTTAAAGCACAGCACTGAGAATCTAAAGCCACTTCCGCATGAGTTCGATTCCCGCCTACCCCGGAGGTGACCACATGGCGTGGCAGACCTCTCCTGACCCGCCCGCTGCTCCCCTCAGCAGTGTACTTCGTTGTTCTGCGTGTTCTGTTCTCCACTCTGTCTCTGGTGAAGCCTCTCACCGCCCCTGAGCCTCTGGCCTGTTCTGTATACACAAATAAATAAATCTTTAAAAAAAAAAAAAAAAAACTTGTGAGTGCTCCAGAGAGACTCCACTAAAAAGAATGATAGCAAGAGTTATTAAAAATACTCTTTTAGAAAAGGAAAAATACTAGTGGTTTCACTCATAGCAGGAGTATAACAGACCAGGGGAGAAAATAATAACGAACAACTATATATACTAGAAACATTTTACAGGGGTGGAGTGGGGAATGGGATCAAAAATGGGGAGGGTGGGGAGGGGGAGTGCACTGGACTATGGTGATGGCACATGGGTGATTTGGTGATGGGAAGGCCACCAGGATTACAACTGAGATGGAAAAAGGAATAAAATGATGTAAAAATAAACTATTATATTATTTTTTTAAAAATACTCTTTTAAAATTGAGTCACCGGATATTTATAGCCCTCTCAAGGCAAGGACAGTAAAACAGGGCACTATCTTGTCAAGGCCGTACAATTCTTCTCTCCAACAATTTCCCCTGTAATGGGCACTGGTATTAAAATATATATTTAAATGCATTTCCTCTGCCATTGTCCAAAATTTAATTGATGTCTCCAGACCACAAAATGACACTGACTTCAAAGGCTTACACAACGGTAGGTAAGAGGCAGCCCTCACTGCTGACCGACCCCACCCACCCCACTTCATCTCTTAGCTATGGCCTCCTTCGCACATCCTCGGCTTCTCAGCTTCCATTCACTTCCGGCTTCTGTGCATGATGTCTTCTTGCTCCTACTGAGCTACCCCCACCCCCTCACCAGATTACTCCCTCATTTCCTACTTAGCCACCAGAGTCCTGTTTCCTCAGAAGAAAATACAGAAGGGAGGGAAGCCCAGTTGAGCCCTCGGGTCCCTGAGAGCTCTGAAATTCTGTGATTCCTTGTTCTAACCACCTGGTCTAGGAAAAGAAAACAAGTGACTGTCATAAATCAGTCATTAATTAAAACCACATAAGATTTACCTTCTCCCACTTTAATATAAATGTTTCTTGCTATCTTGAGTTCAGTGAACGAAGTGACTGCTCCATACTCCTTCCGAGCCCAATTTAACAGATGTTCATTCTCCTGGGGGAAGCTCCTTTCTTCTGTTTTTGCTGACAAGGAGAAGTTGCCTGATGAAAATTGGACCACAGAACCCTCCGACACCTAGAGGAAACAAAATTGCAAATTTTAAGGTGCTACACTTCCTCAGAATCATAATTAGAGAAAGCACTCAACAACTAATGGGTATTTGTCAATCCAAATTCTTTCATTTGTTCAGACAGACAGATCACATTTTATCAGCAGCTGATTCAAGAAAAAATAATTCCAGGACAACTTACTCCCAGTTAATGACAAAACATTCTAAAACATCTGACAGTGTACTGATCCCTTTGAATTTTTCAAAGAACTTTGTGATGAGAGAAGCAGGGGGTACTGTGTATAACCATGAGAATTATCACTGATCTCTCTGGATATCTACATTCAATGGGCTTTGAGCATGTCAGCTTCATGTGAGGTCACCCTTCCACGTAATGTGCTTCATGACAAGTGGGGAACCTAGGAGTGTTTGCAAGGACTTTGAGAGGGGGGTTAAGGATCCCAAGGCTTGCTAACAACTGAACTTGACTTCCAGGTTTCCCACATCTGCCGACAGTCAAGTCACCACCACACAGTGAGCGTCCCCTGAGTTCATGTTCTCTGGAGCACTGAGAGAAAATGAATGGCCATAAGTAGCTGGTCTTCTCCCACATTACCCGCTTCCAGGCAATTAGATGAATGTGTACTATAGTTTGTGAGACCCCCAAATTTCCATAAACAATAAAGAAGCAGTTAGACTGAACCTCACAAAACTTTCGGAATGATTCATGCAAGCCCCACATTGCAGGCATGGAGAACATGGCTGACTTAACACTCCGTGGTATATATAAGTAACACATACATCATGAATCATCTTGCTGCTGCACTATAATCCAGTTTGGTTACTGGTGAGAATATGCATGTTGTCTTTATTGGCTAGCATTTATAAAATTTCTGATTTTACTAATGTCAGAGTGAAACTAAAATTGTGAGCAAATGTCTACCACATTCTCAACTCAGAACTATAAATGTCCCGTATTAAGTTTCACACTCGTCATCACTAAATATAAGCAAGCTGCTTTGGAAACAGGTTGAGGGCAGGGATTTTGCTTATCCCTTACACATTTTTTCAGCCCTAACACACAAAATAATACTTACCCTAACTGCTGTGTTAGGCATTCATATTTCCTGTTCAGTTACAGATGCATCTATTTGTTTAATGCTGGCAAAGAAATACTTCACCAAATTGATTCCATGAACACTAATGTTGCGGTCTCCCACTTGGCTGAAAATCAGGTGTACCTAAAGAGATTCAAATTCCCTGAGCTCCAGACCAATTAGCATATTTTGGGATCAGGCAACAACATTTTTGTAAGTTGTGTAGGGTCAAGGAGGACTCCTACCTTCCAGGGATCTATAGTTCGAAAGCACCGTCTTAGGACAGGGCCCAGCATGGGGCATATCAAAGTTTCCACTGTACTAATGGCTTTTCACCAGGGGTGATTTTGTTCCCCAGGGTACATCTGGAGACATGGATCGCCAAATGCTATTAACTATGGTAACTGGGAGAGAGGTGATTCTAGCATCCAGTGACTAGAGGCCTGGAGTACTACTTGACATCCTACAAAGCACAAGGCAGACCCTCCAAAAAGAAATTATCCCTAATATCAGTAGTACAGGGACTAAGAAACGCTGGTCTACACTTTGGACTGACTGAAGGTTACTGCTACCAAAACCTCCACTAGAACCCCAAATGACAGCCCTTTCTGTGCTAGCAAACTGGGCTGTTTAATACACAATAATGAATAAAAGTACCTTTTCTGTTTTGTATTGACTTGGGAGGCCTAGAACTAACCATTACTAATCTGGTTGTAAACTATGTAAAACTTGCTGCAAACCTACTATGCAACAGGCACTGCGAAGCACACTTAGCGTGATGACGACATTCGCCAATGCCAGTTATAAGCAAAACCAGGGGGTACATTTAGCTTTGCTCTTAGTTGGACATGAGAAGAAAAGTTCCAGAGACACCTAACTGCCAGCCAAACATTGGCAGCCTGGGTCTCAGTCCTCCTTAGCTACTCACCAACAAAGGACTTCAAGCAATATATCCAAGTTTTCTGAATTTAGCACTCTAGTAAAATCATCTTTTTGCTGAAAACTCCTTGTGCTAAAAACTCATTTTTATCATGCCTATCACCAAAAAAATCCACAACAGTCCAAAGGCCTTTGTTTATTGCCAGCACAGTGCAATGTCTAGGCAAGCATCCTGGCTATGCTGCGTCTTTTGTTCTCATTCATATTATGCTCATAAAATAAAATACTAGGGTTTTAAATACGTAAGACATACAGTACATTTTTTTTTCCCATTATGGAGGAGTAGATATTTCACTCTGGTGCATTCCAGAGGCAAAAAAGTAAACATAGTAAATATGAGAAGATACGGAACAACTTCTGCTGTATCCTGAAGTTAAAAAAGAAAAAAAGTGAAAGGAGAATATTGCAGATTCTTCTAGAAGGACCGACGCCCAGCTGACCCTTCCATGCACCAGCAACCCTGTTCAAGCCCCTCTTCTCCCAGCCAGTAGCAACCTGGCCCATATACGCAGGCAGCAGGGCTTAGGAATTTGGAAAAAGAGTTAACTGCCACTCCTCAAGGCACATTCCAATAGGAAGAAAGCAAAGCTGCCGGGGGCAGTTAAGTGTCCCTGACTGCAGGTCAGTGGAAATTTTCTGCTGCAGCAAAGGGTGAGTCAGCAATCCCCCATATGGCCAGCTCTGCTGGCTTTGACAAAACTTGACATCAACAACCATCATCTCTCAGCCCCATCAAAGGGACTGTATTTCTATCTCATCCTCAGGATGTGTGACGCAGGTTACTCTGATTTCCAGAGCAGAGAGGAGACTCCTCAGGAAGCTAATGGCCTACATGCGGCAAGAAAATTGACACAGGGACATGAGTGGGAGACCTCTGACCCCGTCATAGCCAGCCCCTGCTTGCACTGTCTAGAGAGACCTCACTAGCTCCTAAGGCAGGTCACTTCTGCCCTTACTTTCCATCCATAAGATTTACCAGTCATCCACTTACCCGAGTTGTGCCTTTCAGATCAAAAGAATTCCTTGCTCTTTCTCCCACTAGACAGCCTTCAAATGTTTAATTATGTCACTTCTTCAAACAATCTCCCCAGAGACTTGATATTGGATCTTGTCCACCAAAGTCTCTGAATTGAGGTACTTAGAACAAGACCCAGGATCTTGGGTGTGGTCTGACAAATGTACTGTGATAGTTGATTTGTGTGTCAACTTGACTAAGCTACCAGGGTACACAGAAACTTGGTTACATATTATTCTAATAGTTTCTATGAGGGTGTTGTGGATAAGATGAGCATTTAAATCAGCAGACTAAAACAGATCATCTTCCCTAATGTGGGTGGGTCACATCCATCAGTGAAAGCCTAAATAGAATAAAAGGCTGACCTTCCCCCAAGGAAGAGTGACTTCTCTGCTGATGGCCTTCAGAGTAGAGCACAAACTCCATGGTCTGCAGAAGCTTCGTGGACGACAGGTTCAAATTAAAACAGGAGCTTTGCAGATTTTGAACTTACTGGCCCACATAGCTTTGTGACCCAATTCCTTACAATAAATTTCTTTCTATATAAACGTGACCCAAGATCACACTAGCTTTGGGCCTCCCTGGTGGTACAGGGGTTAAAGTCTCAGTACTATCAAGCTATCTCCAGTCACTGCAACATGAGTTCAATCCCCAGCCAAGGAGGGGACCCCCATGGCACAGCAAATCTCTCCTGCTTCACCTGCTGCTCCCCTCAACAGTGTATTTCAGTAGATTGGTCTGTTCTTCCCACTCTGTGAATTCTCTCACCTTCTGCCCCACCGACCTACACCCCAGTTTTTGTATGTATGCATACATAAAAATAAATTAAAATTCTTAAAAAAAGAATTACATTTATTTAAAAAATCTCACACTAGTTTTTTTTTTTATCAGCTGAGCCATGCTAACGTCTCATGTTAATTGGTATATACTCATCTATCAAATATTTATTAAGTGCCCATCGACTATGTGCCAGGCATGCCTTGTACTGGGCATGTAGTAGAGAAGGTGACTGACACAAATTCTCTAGTAGGGAAGTCAGAGAAACAAAAGAAATAAAATATGTAATATGACAAAACATGCTATGGCAAAATAAATGAAAAGAACGGGGGTACTATACTTTTCCAAGCTGTGATGGAGAAAAGTCTAATTGAGAAAGCCACTAAGCAGTTGACTTCTCAGGGAGACGTCAAGGGAAGAGCACTCACAGCCAAGCCAGCAGTGCCAGACGGGTGGGCAAGGAGACCTGTGTGGCTAGGGCACAGGGATGCGCAGGGAGAGATGGGTAAGATCAGAGAGGTCACAGAGGACACCAGTAGGTCCAACAGGACCCTGCACACCATCAGGAAGGACTGGTATATTTCATTTGGGTGACAACACACGACTGTGAGTTCATGCAAACACCTAACAAAGGTTTTAATGGGGTCAGTCTGGCTGCTATGTCTAATATAACAGGAGACCAGGAACATATACCAACTTCTAGAACAATCCGGGGGAGAAATGATGACAGCTCATACAGGGGAAGTGGATGGAGGAAATGCTGGTACCTCAATCCCCAGGTTTTTACCAGATGGAGGCTCTCTGCATCCTTTAAGTACAGATTCTTGTATTGATCATTGGGCCCAGAGTCAAGTCTGTAGAGACCATAAAGCATCACTGTTAAGCTGTCAATGTCTATTTCCTATTTGTGTCTGTACACACTCACTTAAGTCCCTGAGAAGCTAAGACGTGGCTGAGGTCCGTGACTTAGGAACACTCCACATGACTCTAGCACTGGCAGGTCCTTGGTCATTCACAGCTGCAGAGCAGTCCACAGAACTGCCTTCACTTTGTCTAAGGCCATCGTGACCTGTCAAGAACCCTACTGAAGTAAAGACATGCTACACCTGTGTCATCCCTCCTCTCCTCTGTCAACACACTCGTGCCGCCTACTCTCCAGTGGCACCTCACTCGAGTCTGGTTTGGGTAGAAATCTGTG